AATGTCCTTTTTAGGTAAGCAGAAAAAGTGCTCTCCAGCATGACAAAAAGGAAAGCAACCCCCCCCCTCAAAAAATAAAATTAAGATGGGAGATTTTTTTTTTTTTTTTTTTTTCAAATCCTTTATACTCATCAGATTTAACATTTGAAGGTTTTTCATTTGTTTCCATCATGAAAACTTTATAAGTAGCAGAATATACAAAACCAAAGAACACTATTTACATTATTGGGAATATTGTCCTCATTATTGTTGTCATATTTATTAGGTTTTGGTCGTTGTATGCACCAGCCTTCTTCAGGGGATTGGAATGTCGAACTGAACCCTTTATTTTGCTCACTGGTGTAGACTGTTCTAGTTCAACGTGCCATGTCTAATGGATGTCAGTTATAACTGAGTGAAATAAAGAGTTCAGTTCGACATTCCAATCCCCTTAAGAAGGCCAGAGCGTACAACGGCTGGCATTGTTGTAATAAATATGGCAACAAAGATGAGGACAATAGTCTGAATAATGTAAATAGTGTACAACCTCATCTCAGAAATATAGACAAAAACAAGTTGAAAACGGCGTTTCAAATTTTTTTCAGAGAAAAATCCAGAGTTAAATGTGGAATCAAAAAAAAAAATTACTTTCCCATTTACTTCACCCCCTCTAAACAAGGCAATAATACCGCTAGGATGCAAGGGCTTACAAGGAGTGAAAAAGAATGAGAAGACTTTTAGTGAGAAGTGAGGAAAGAACTAAAGGAACAGAATTCAGGAAGACAGAAGATGGCAATTGATATTGTATTTAAATTTTTGAAGAGTGTAAGCGGCAGGGAAACAAGAAATCAGAAGGGAGTTCCACAGGTGAGAAAAGAAAATATTATAATAGAACATATAGTTCTATCTAGTTAGTTCAACAGTAAAATGGTGAGACCTAGTTGCTAATCTAGTAGTACACTTAAGTTCATACAGACAAGGCAATAAAGTAAAAATCTCACCAGAACAGTCGCCATGAAAACATTTGTAGAAAAAACAGATGGAAACCATATCAGTGAGGAAATGACTGAAGTTGAGATACCAGATCAGAATTGATTACATTGCAGACCCTTTTTGAATTTTCTCCAAAATCTTGAAATATACAGCAAGAACACCAGACCAGATATAGCAGTAGTATTTGATGCATGGACAATTGGTAGATCTATAAATTTGCACAATGGATTGCAATGAAAGAAAATTTCTGGTGCAGCACAATGAATCAATTTTACTAACAAGAGACCTAGCAATTGATTCAATATAGTCACTTCACTTTGATAGTGGAAATCATGAGCTCAAGAAGGCACAAAGTATGGCTCTCCAGGAGTTTAGCATCAGCCATGCTGATGGCAGGCAAAAAAGGTTCTCTGTGGTGATTAAATAAAAGCAGTTTTGTTTTGGCAGCATTAAAATTTACAAACCATTTCTTGCCCCCACTAACTGGAGGTCCTCAAAATAATCTGAGTGCCAGACCTTAAAAATTCTCTCCCCAGTATTGCCTGGGAGTGGAGGACCTCTGTATTAGTATTGAACACCATCTTCATTACCTGATTTATTAGGAACAATTGAATTAAACCAAATATTCATCCCCCTGACACTGTAGCCCTTGAGCTTGCGGTGAAGGCCAACATGCCAAATCCTGTTCAATGTCTTTGAGATATCTAGAGCCACTGCAAGTGCTTTGCCGTTCTTACCTAAAGCTTGATAGACAAATTTGGTGAGAGCTGTTAATACTTCAGTAGTAAACCCGATGAAACGGAAGCCATATAGCTTGTCCAATAGGCTGTATGAAGTAAGATGCTCAACTTGTTCTGTTGTTGAAAATTAAGGGAATTATATTTCTGATGAATAATATTTAACCCTAGAACACTAACCATGGGTATATAGTACCCAGTGCAAATTTTCCTATATTTAATTACAATTTTCAGTACCTGATTTTCTTACCTAAATAATGTTTTTCAGTTCCTATTAATGTTAACTCAAAGTTTGAAGTTCCTGCATGTAAAATATTTCAAATATAGAATTATATTAAATATTTTTTTTGTTATTTTCAAAATCAGGTATGATATACCCATGGTTAGTAGTGGAGTAACTTTAATTGATGGTTAGTGTTCTAGGGTTAAATAAGTTTAACTTGTTTTTTTATATCTTTCCTTGTAAAACATAATTCCTTTCAGTTTGCCATAATGCATTTAAACATCATTAATGATTTGAAAGCAAGCTGTATATTGCCAGCCTATAGCTCATATTCTGATACCAGTAAGCATAGCATATTTTAGATAGCATTGTTCTAAAGCAAATTTTGAACAATCTATGATTTATAAATAACATCTCAATAAATGATATTCAAGTAATTTGTACTTTCATGAGATTGTTTGTTCTGGTTTATTTGTTGTTGTTATTTTTTTATTTTATTTTTTTTTTTTTATTTTTTTTTTTTACAAGAACATTTTTTTTATTTTATTTTTTTTTTTTGTGAAATATTAGAAAATGTTATTTTCCTACATTTATTAAACAGCTCAAACAGTTAATAATACCAAAATTTGTTTTTTAATGCCATATCCCTTCTGGACATAGACAATCATAACTCTCCATAGATTTCTTCTCTTTGTTATCTGTGAATTGCCATGACTTCTTGGGAAATATAGTGGAGTATTTTTCCATTGATTTCTCTACAATTTTGAATTTAGGCTTGTCTTGAATTTGGCTTTCTCAAGGCATTTTTGCAAAAGTTAGCACAACAGACTAGGCCAGAATTTGAATCTTCTTTCAGCACCAGTAACTTTTCTACATACATTAGATACAACATATCTGAATCTTTTTTCTTTTATGTCTTAAAATGATATAGAAATGCCTATATTTTCAAATGTATGTATTTGATGTATGTATTTGATGTATGTATTTGATGTATGTATTTGATGTATGTATTTGATGTATGTATTTGATGTATGTATTTGATGTATGTATTTGATGTATCACTTTACAAAAGTCTTGCAAATAACTGAACTTTAATTTTCTAATGATCTTTGGTGACAGACTTTTTTTTACCAATGTACAAGCAGAACATAAATATTGTAAGTTATGATCTCTATTCTTTTTATTTCCTACCTTGACCTTAAACACTAGATGACTTGTATTGCAATAAAATGCAACTTAGAAACTGCACACGTGATTGTAATGTTTCATCATGGTGTTATATTTGGTACCAATTGACTGAGACATGCTCAGATATGTCATTCTATTTTTATAAATATTTTTACAGTTTTTTGGGGGTTTTTTTATATCATACATTTATCACAATTTTTATCATTACTTTTTTCTTGTTTTTTCTTCAAAGGCTTTCTTCTTGAATTTCTTTTCTTTTCACAGACTTTATTTCTTGAATTACTTTGAAAACTCCTTACATAAACCAGCGCTTTTTCTTTCTTAATCTAAAAAATAACTTCAAATATTCAGATGAACTTCATTCGTTAGCACCACCAGCTCACACCTTTGCAGCCAAGACCCACTTTGCTATATCCATAGTGTTGAATCACCTTCTTTCCCCACCACGTATTCCATTGGTAAGAAAGCTGTTTTGTTCAGTGAACTTCTACTGTTGTGTAACAGACTCCCACATGGATGCTTCCTCAAACACAATGATCTTAACCAGTTCAAGTTTAAGGTCAATCATTATCCTTCATATCTACATAATCTTCACTTCGTACTTTTAAGCTCATACCACACACCTCATTCAGTAAGCCTCTACCGTGAATGGCTCTTGGACCTTTATTGGGTGAACTTTAGTTGAAAAAAATCAGAAAGTACTTTTTACCTAATATAAATAAAATACTGTACAGAAAAGAACAAAAGACACTTAAAAGAAACAAAAACAGAATCCAGTGATCAATTTGTTTATTTTAGACATTTCTAACAGTTTTATCAATTATTAAAGACTGGAAATATAATTTATTATGAATATTTTATCACTTAACTAATGCCCTATCTTGTTTACTAATTTGTCAAAACTGAGAGTAATTGGAAACAACACACCACAAATCTTATTCATAGTTCAGCAAACAGTTTTATTAAGTTTTTAAAAGTACAAGAATGAAAAATGCTACTTATTAGAATTTCGTATTTACCTTAAATGTATCACACCTCTCCTCACCAGCTATAACAGAAAATTCATCATGGATTTCTACTCAGCAATATGATATATCTTGAAATGCAAAGACGGTTTTGTTAAGTGGGTGATCATGTCATCCTTGATTTCATTGAAATCAACCCCATCGTCATCCAGAGTTTCAGCCTCTAATTAAGGCCCACAGTTCTATGATTTATTGGAATTGCCAAGAAAATTGCCAATTTAGGGAAACCCTGACATAAACACTTAACAAAACCTCTCTTACTAATTTATTAATTCTTACTTTTTTTTTTTCTACTTTTCAGAACAGCTTTTTTCTCTCTCTCTCTCTCTCTCTCCATTTAAATTCTTGCTCATATTGATTTTAAGTATAAAAATATTTTTTAATTTACGCTCATTATTTTTCCTTTTTCAGTGTAAAGCATAATATTTATCAATATTTTTACTAATTTTCTTCACAGCATTTGCGGCTGATTCACTCAAATTGTTAAAGTAAAATTTAAAAGACATGGCACAATGACAACAGATAAGAACTCTGCTTAACTTCAAGACAGTTGGTGCCTAATTGGTTTAAGCATCACCCATATATGACAAGTTCCCAAGATAAGAAATGCCAGTTTAAATTTCATTAGAAACTCCTTTATTCTGATTTCATAGTTTACTTCAGCCAAGTAAATTCTGATGTGGTGTTCTATACTACTACTGCTATTAGTACTACTACTACTACAGATAGCTATGAAGGCAACAAAGCACTGAAGAAAATTAGTCAAAAATTAATAAAAATAGATTACTTTACTTGATCTCCAAACAGTTTAAGACCATTAATGTTTAAATATCTTCTTTTTTTTTTCTCCCCTAGGGAAGCAAGATATTTTTATTTCCATGCCGACAGGTGCTGGAAAGTCACTTTGCTACCAACTACCAGCTGTGTATAAAACTGGAGTTACAGTGATTGTCTCCCCTTTGCTGGCACTCATTCAAGACCAGATGGATCACATGCGAGACCTTGGTATCCGTGTGGCCACCATCAATTCAAAGCAGACAATGACCGAGAAGAACCGGGTCACAACTGATTTAAATCGCAAATGTCCCAAGACAAAGCTTCTCTACATCACACCTGAGCAAGCAGCTACATCTTTTTTGCAACAGCATCTCCACAGTTTAAATCATGCAAGCCTCCTTAATTACTTTGTTATTGATGAAGCCCACTGTGTATCACAGTGGGGCCATGATTTCCGGCCTGACTACCTGAAACTTGGACACCTTCGTGCAGAAAAGATCCCCAATGTCCCTTGCATTGCGGTGACAGCTACAGCTACAGCCCAAGTTATTAAAGACATTGTGAAGAGCCTTGGGCTTAGAAAGCCATTTGCATCATTTAAAACTAGCTGCTTTCGGCCTAACCTCTTTTATGAGGTGCGTATGAAAGAAACTCTGGATGATCCTTTTAAAGACCTTTTGGAATACTTAATTGATCACCTTGGTTTACCGCCGGAAAACCACGACTGGACCGAAATTGGTTGTGGAATTATTTACTGTCGTACAAGGGACACCTGTGAGGAAGTAGCTGTTCGTTTGCAACAGCAAGGCTTCCCTGCAAAGGCTTACCATGCTGGATTAAAAGGTGAGTACACCAGACCTGTTTTTTTTTTTTTTGTCACTCTTTTTTCTAGTTCTTTTCTTTTTACTTTTCTTTTTTCATTTTTTCTCTTCTCTTTTCCTTTTCTTTTGTCTTTTTCTTGTCTTTCTTTTTTCCTTTTTCTTTCTTTTTTCCTTTTTCTTTCTTTTTTCCTCTTTCTCCTCTTCATTCTTTCTCCTCTTCATTCTTTCTCCTCTTCATTCTTTCTCCTCTTCATTCTTTCTCCTCTTCATTCTTTCTCCTCTTCATTCTTTCTCCCTTCTTTTTCTTTCTCTTTCTCCCTTTTTTTTTTCCTTTTTTTTTCAATTTAACTGTAATATAATATACTATTAGAATTTTCCCAATATGAGTTTAGATGTGCCCCAACCACAAAAAAAAAAAATAATAATAGAGTAAACAGAAATCAGGAAACCATTATTTTTGATTTTACAAAAAAATTCACCTCGAATGAATTTACCATTAAATTTTTTTTTTCCATACATTCACTCCATGCAAGGGGTTACTGAGTGTGAAAGAATTAGAAAATGGAAACCTTATTAAGGAGCAAGAAGAATAGAAGAGTAATTGGGAAGACAGTCGATAATGATTGATAAAACATTGCATAAAATATTAATTTGTATATTTAGAAATAACTTTCTAGAACAAATACAAATATTCAACACAGAATGACTTAGATTTAAGTCATGTATAATAATGGTATTATTAGCTGTTTCCTTATAAGGACACATTCAGCAGCCAGTGCTGTACATATGGGGACTAGTTAGGATCTCATAAAGAAATTGTAGTATAATGGTGACTGTAGTAATGTGTTGTTTTGATGTAATGAAAATTATATATAGTATGTTTGCTTCAGTGATTGTGGCAAGCTAAATTAATGTTGGACAGATGAAGACCAGCATTGCTCATCCCTTTTGGCCTTGTGCCATATTTTTTGTAAAATTACAGAAATAAATATTGCAGCCAGAGCTACACTTTTTACAGATTTACACTTTTCTTTGCTTCATAGCTGTCAGGCTGGGATCAAAATCTGTTTTCATCTCATGGTAATATTAGCCATTTCCTTGTAAGGAAACATTTGGCATTAATTGACTAATCAGCCAATGCTACTTTCAGTTGAAATTTATAAAATCATTTTCTTAAATATTTCTATTTTATTTTTCCTGGAAAAGAGGTTTCACAAGTCCACTAAATGTTATCACTTTTTTTAGTATTGATGGGAGATTCCTTCCTAACTTTTTACTTGAAGTAGTATGGAATATCAGCATCTTGATTATGTCATTATTTTCTCTTCTCCACTGAATTGCTAACATTTGACTAAAAATAACACAAATTTTGTTGATTTTATGATCATAGTTCTTATGTGAATATTAATCAGCATTCAAAGAGCTTTCTAAAGATATACAGCTTGACCATATTGGGAGATATGAAAATGTTAATATATAGTGGCAAATACCAAAATCCGCCATTTTAAATTTGGCCCAACTCAATAAAACCCTTGTAACTCCATAACAAAATTTTGTACATATCTTGCCATAAAGCAGAAAAATTTGTTGTCAAATTTAAAAATAAAAAAATTTAAGAACGTTTTTTTTGAGAAATTAAAGGTCAAAGGTTAAGACCGAGGTCAAATTATCTTATTTGACCTTTAAACAAAAAAAATAAAAATAAATAGATCACCTTTTAGATGTATCCAAGTACTTTAAAATGGTACACAATTCAGCTTTGTGGGTGAAAAAACAACTGAGATATTGATATTTACCAAAATTCACCTTTTAGGGTCAAAGGGTCATATCTCAGGAATGCTTTGACCTAGAAATGTAAAATAGGTTCTATTCAGTTTCATTCATGAAGATCTATAAATATACCAAATTTGAAAAAAATCTGTGTCGGTGATGGTCAAACCCATGTTGATTTGACATGGACTGACTCAAAAGCCGTTAATATTCATTCTGTATCTTTTCTTTATAATTCTTAGTTTATGTCAAAAGTTGTTAATATATTTACCCTGCTTTTTTGTATCGAATTAAATGTAAATTCTCATATCATTTTCAGAATGGCTCGAAAGCAAGAAATTTATGTAGCCTTTTCTGAAATAAATCCAAGGCAAATCCTCATCTAATCCTTCCAAATGGGTTGAAAGCAAAAGATTTATTGTTTTTAGGTCTGTCAATGTGTAGATAGGTTCATCCATTTCACACTACTCGCCAGTCTCTTGTTTCGGATTGGGTTTCAAGTTCCTTTAAAGTGCTTTTCATTTAACTTCACTTCCAGTAGACATTTAAATCTTAGTGGCATTATCTTCTTGCTTGGGGTGAATTGATTAAAAAACAAAAAATCAGATAACCACTTGAGTACGTACCTGAAATTGAGGGAACCAAAACTTTGTTATGAAATCTGCCCTTTGAATGTCGACACGCAACACTTAAGGGTGAGTGTCACTAATTATCAAGTAATTGAAAAAGGAGGGCAGAGCCATGGGTGGTAAAATTATCGAAAGCTGAATCGTTTCTTTCACCTTGGTGATCAGAAGAGTTGTGTCAAGAACCCACCCACCCCCTGCAAATTGGAGTTTCTTTAACTGAAAGGTTTCATAAGAGAAAACAGATTTTCCAAAGTCAGATCTTAATGGGAACTCTATTCTAGCCTCTGTCTATATTGGAGACAATTTTTAGCAAATTTGCTTCTATATTCTGTCTTTGGGTGTCAGGATGTAAACCATCCTTAGGACTTGCAAATCTTAAAAATACTTTTCACTGCCATATATATTACCCAAATCTATCAGAACTGAATAAAATTGTGTTTGCAATGGTTTGAACATATTCTTTCTTTGTTGACTCTTTGTGAACCACATCCATGCAAGTCAATAAAAAGAATATAGAACTCCTTCACAATTGGAGAAAGGTATCAATCCGTAAAACCCCATGATTATCATGGCCAACAACACTCTGTTGACAAACTGAAGTCAATAAGGTTATGATACACCTTATAATCAGAAGATATGTGCATATAGAACAGTGATTATCAACATGGAAGGCGGAACTGACATCATGATCACGTCCCATAATAGGGTCCCTGCAGCCATTGCTGCAGTTGTGTTTCCTGGGCAAGTTAGCATGAGGGAGCACAATCCTCTCTATGCTGGTTTGAATTCAGAGTTTTCCTTCTAGACTGATTGCTGCCTGAGGCTATAGGATCCAGTCTGTCTTGCTATTTTAACCATATCTGGTGCAGGAGAAGAGGTATATTTATACCTTTCCCTTGAGTGTGAGTTCATGAAATCACCTGAAATTTAAACTCAGCTCTTCGAATCCTCATTCCGAACCATAATCCATTACCCTACCGTACCACTTGGTATGCCAAGTTCAAATTCCATCTAGGTTTGTTATATTCACTTTCACACAAATACTCTTGGGAAAGATGTGAATTCCTCTCTTCTTGCTCCAGCTAGGGGTTAGCAGGACAGATTGGGTTCTTTAGTCTTGGTTGACAGTTTTGGAGAAGGCCAACTCTGAATTTAAATCTGGTTGGGCATGTAGCTGACATCTCAACCCCATAAAAACTTACTTGCTACGGAAATCACAAGAGTAACACCTAGTGTAATGAGGCTATGATCTTAAAATGGTGAGGCTCTTACCCTATTTTACACAGGGATGTCTAATACTGTTAAGAAGAAGGATGAACCATAAATTATAATAATTTGCATAAGTTACTGTTTTTAACAGCTTTTCATATACTTTTAATTCTCAGGTCAATTTTATTTGTTTTCTCTTCTTTGCAGATGTTGACCGTCTCCAGGTGCAAATTGATTGGATGGAAGGACGTATTCCTTTGATAGCTGCCACTATTAGTTTTGGAATGGGTGTTGACAAGCACAATGTGCGGCTTGTTGTTCACTGGACTCTCCCAAAGACAATGTCTGGCTACTACCAAGAATCTGGTCGAGCTGGACGTGATGGTAATCAGTCTTGGTGTTGTTTGTATTACTCCCGACGTGACAGAGATGCCATCTCGTTTCTTCTGAAGCAGGATGCAACCCGCAACTACAAGAAATATAAAAACCAGGAGACAAACTCTGTCAAATCGGCAGAAAGTAATTTTGAAAGTATGGTAAAATATTGCGAAATGCCACGCTGTCGGCACCGTGTAATTACAGAATATTTTGGAGATGAGAAGCCAAATTGCCAAAAAAATTGTGACCATTGTAAGAATCCTCGCAAAGTTGAACAACAAGTGAATGATCTTCTACGGGGCAGTTATGGACGCTGGTGCCGTGAACAGTATGGTAGCACAAGAATGGTTAAGGAGCCAACAGACCCTGACCTTGAACTTTATGGTGGGGGACGGCTTGGAATGAAGAAAGAGAACATCCAGTATGAGAAAAATATTGAGGGCAGTGATGACGATGATGATGATAGCCGAGAAAAGGAGTTGGAAAGTGAGAAGCATGAACGCAAGAACCTTATAATAAACGAATTAAAAAAACGCAGTACTACATCAACAGTGTTAGAAACAGAACAAGAGTTCGTAGAGATTCCTGACGACTGTCCCTTGCGAGACCCCCAGAGTAAGCGGATACCTAATTTAGGCTTCAGCGTACGCATGCATTGCTTTGAGAAGCTGAAGAACACACTGACTGAAAACTTTGAGTCCCACTTTGCCAACAATCCCAAACGTTTGCGCAGTGTCGAACATGAGGTGCATGTGTGCTGTATCGACTTGGAGTTTGAGCTTTTTAAAAACAGCAAGTTTGCCAACCTCTATAAGGCATGTATCTTGAAGAAGGTTTTTGAGATTAAGAAACTGACAGAGAAGAAACAGATCCATTCCAGCTTAGTGCCAAAATGGTCCCAAGAAATAGAATCTTCAAGACAAAGTAGCGATAGTGAAAAACATGAACAGCTGCCACAGGATGAGACGAGCTCTCCTTATGAAGTGGAGCATGTGCAGAAGAAAAAATCAAAAAAGAAAAAGAAAAAAAAGAGAGAAGAATTTTCTAGGCAATCTGACTTTGTATCAAACTCTACAGGAATAAGTTCTGATTCTGATGAAGAACGTGCAATTAAAAGTAATTTTGGAGGAAAAAGTCAAGCAAGTCGAAATTTTAAATCATCTTCAGCCTCTGAGACAGTTGAATCTACAGGACTGACAACAGATGAAGATGAGGAGCTGATCATGAGAACGTTAGCACCCTCAAAACAAATTGTCAATTCACCAAGGATGTCATCTTCAGATGAAGCCGCCAATACTGGAAATTCCTCTTCCAGTCCTCAACTGTCCAGTGATTCAGCTTTAAAGAAAGAGTCAAAATACAGAAACAGTTATTTTCCAAAAAAAGAACCAGTTATGGTCAGGACTCGTAGTCCAGAAATTATTTACCCCGACCCTGGAGTGATTATTGATTTATATCAAACAGAAATGGATGCCTATAAGAAGCAAAAACATCTCAGTCCCACATCCAAGCAGGAAGAGACTGAAAAGAATGTGTCGCAGAGTTTGTCCAAATTTGAGAATCCATTGGTGAATGAGGAAAAAGCAAATGAAAGTGATGACCCCTCACTCGGTCCAAAATGGATATCAAACTCTACAGGCTTGACCTCTGATGAGAATGAAGATGGAGAACATGAAGTGACAAAAGTAAGAAAGAAAAACTCTAAGATGAAAAATTCTTCAGACAACAGGAATGAAAACAGAACCATTTCAGAGACTAATTCAGTGAAGTCTGTCCCAAATCAAGACAAACACTCGAGTTCAATGAAACACAGGCATCACAAATCATCTCGAGAACATTCTGGAAAAGACAGCTCCTCTAAGAGTTCCAAGCATTCAGAAAGACATCACGAACCTTCATCAACACATAGCAACCACAAAAAACGTAGACATGAAGAGCCAGAAAGAAATGATGCCAAACGACATAAAATAACAAGTAACACAGCAACAGATAAGCAGGCCTTGTCGAACAAAACTGTATCATTTGATATTTGGAAACTCAAGCAGGAGCCGATGGAGACAAGTGAATCATCTGAGAATACTAGAAAAGATTCTGAGAAGTTAAGAACCAGGCTTGAAAAGGAAAGGTCAAGCAGCACCAAAGTTGAGCCATCTGTAAAATTTCATAGCTCAGAAAAAATGAAAGGAATAAACGAGGCAGATAAAGGGGAAGATGTTCGCCGTGGGAGTCTGGTGAAACCAGGTCAAAGTAGTCAGCATCGTGAGGAAAAGAGAGAGACAGTTAAATTTGCAGATGACCCCATCATAAAAACCTACACAGTTGACAAAACGGATGACGATGGGGAAGGTGTTGATGATGATGATGGTGGTGGCGATGGCAGTGGCGGCGGTGATGATGGGGATTTGACAGGTGAAGCTAGGTTTAGTGAGGCTCAGGACTTGTCAGCCAAAAAAACAGAGAAGACAGACAACTTGTCTCACCAGTCGGCATCTCGAGGGTGTGAAAATGAAAAAGAAACCAAAGAGCCAAGTCCTGGTTCATCTTCAGGTGCCAGCAGCCACGAGATGAAGAAAGCTGCTAATCTTGTGGTTTATTACTTGAATCCACTCTATAAAAATGGTAAATTTGGCTCAAGGGACCTTTTTAAGATGGTAGCAAAAATGTTAACACATCAGTTTGTTAAAAAATCCTCCAGCAACTCTTCAAATGCCAAGGACATAGCCAAAAAGCTCGTATCGAGCTACTTTAAGAAGCATCCCAAAATTATGTCTGCTGAAGATGTATCTGATACGGAAGTTTGAACTGCTGTGAAAGTATTTTTTTTTTGTTTTGTTTTTTTAAAGGGAAAATGAAGAAACTGCATTTTTTTTTTTTATATATATTTCTATTTTTTTATTTCTCACTGTCTCTACTCTTCCCATATCTGTCTGTCATGATTCTTTTTTTTATTCTTTTTTTTTTTTTCTTTTTGTAGATGGTTTGTCTGTTCAGTTACTGCTAGGCACTAGAAGCTCAAAATATTTCAGCCAGTCAGTTCTTTGACCATCCCCAGATGACACTGGATTTTCACAATATATTTTTGATTATTTTCATTAGAAAAAAAAATTGCAAAACTCCAAATTTTGGTGGGTTGTAGTCAAGAAATAGGCATCCTAAATTATTCAGTGTATAATGCATTACTAAAAATGAATTTGCTAATTTTTCAGGTTCTTTGGTGATGTTATTTATTATGTCTAAAAACTTCAAAAAGATCTTACATTTGATTCTTTGAGTCAGAATTTTTTTATTAATCATCACATTAACAAAATCAATACAAATGAGCAAGAAAAAAAGTGAAATTTATAACTGCATTGATGAAAATTGAGCTATAAACACTTCGATAAAAGACTGGCAGTAAATACAATTGTTTTGCAACATGATTAACTAAACTACCACTCTTAATAAAATATTAAAAAGAAAACTCTATTGAAAAATAACAGTGTCAAATTTTACACAAAAATAAGTGTTTTTATTTTTATTTTTATTAACTCAAAATATTTACAACAATATAAGAAGACTGAAGTAAACAAATCCACTAGGAAGATCATAAATTTAAATTATATTTCTCAGGAATATTTTTAAAAATATTTGATTTTCTTTTTCATTTTACACCCATAAGCAAGGTTAATTTTAAAATAAGTCGTATTTTAGTATAATTTTTTAATTTTACATCAGAATCCAAGTCAAGTAATTTATTTTTTCTTTTTACACCAAAACATAATTTAAATTAAGTAAAAAGATCATATCTTAGTTAATTTTTAATCCAGATATTTTAATAACTAGTTTGCCCATACCGACAAAAGGTTACAGGAATTTTTAAGTAATTTTACAATTGCATTACTAAAAGATTTTCTGCATCATTAATCTCAGATTTTTATTTCTACAATTAACTTTATCACATATAAGAAAAAATTCTGCTTTTTAATTCATTAAAAGTAAAAAAATATTTAAAGAAAATGTATACAAATGAAAAAAAAGTATATTAGCAGTTTGATTTCATCTACTTAGTAATAATATATAAGGCATCTTTACTTAGTGACATCAAGCAATGCCTCCTGTTTCCATATCTTATTAGTAAATAAGGTAGATCAGGTTGCATAACTGATGAATATATAGGCACATTGTGTTTTATTTTATAGGATAGATTTTTACTATCATGATAAATGATACTGAAATTTAACTTTAATATGATTCATTTAATATATTATTTGTAATGGGGAGGTGCTGCCTCTGAGTTGGAATCCCAGAACCAGATTTGCTTTATTTATGCCATGTCTTGCCTGAAGTTGAAATGTAACTGATCTCGGCCAAAAGGCAATTCAACTGATAACAATTTGAGTGTAATCACTCAGCTAAAATCTTCTAATATTTGGGGACTTGTTAATTGGACCTTGCACAGATTTTGACTACAGCATTGACCTTATGGTAGCACAATTGAGAAATACAAGATATAATGAAAAAAAAAATGTAAGATTGTACTAAATTGGAATTTTTTTTTAAATTGGTTTTACCTACAGAGGAATATCTGATCTATAAGGGGTGCTATTCTATTTTTCCCCCATACTTTTGTTCCTCCAGGGTAGTACAGCAACTTGCTTCAAAATTGCATGTAACCTGGTGGATGGTGATGTACCAAGGCTGGCAGTCAGAAACTTCTGTGGTCCATATTTGGGTCTGATGTTAGGACCTTGTTTAGAGGGTCATTATAGCAATTCTTTTGCACTACACCTGTAAATTTCAACCAATAAAAGAGTGTCACTCAATGTGGAGGGTTACTGTTGAAATGGAAATGAAGCATGTGATATGAATGTTAGAGAAGGTAGGAAGTAAGTGATTATGAGGATAGATAACAATTGATCCCTTTACTTAAAGAGTTCAAGATTAAAATACTATAAATTGTGGCATACAAGTCAAGTGTTCAAGCCTAAAAAATCTTTTGGGATTACAGTTTTAGTTCACTGGTAGCCTACCATATGTTTGGGGGTTAACTTATATGGTAAGTATAGGCCTAACTCAGAATTTTGAGCTAAAAATCTTTAGGTTGACTTGTACACAACAATTAACATTATTCAGGGAAGTACCCATGTAGGAGTTGGTTCTGTAAAGTTGCAGGTCTTGGGGAGAAGCTGAGTGGAACTTACTTCTTAGATTTAGAATATGGAGGAAATGAGAGTGACTCAATTCTGTGGAAATTGCACATCATGTGGTAGAGCAGTAAAGGTTTGAACTGGTGGAACTAGAGAATGGAGTGCTCTTCTAGACATTTGCCATGGAAAAAGTGAAAGAGTAGTGTAATGTTGCATCTGTAGGAAAGCAATAATAAGAGATTGTAGAGTGGAAATTCCCTATAAGACTCAAGGCTGGAATGTGAGGATAAAGCAGCTCCAGCCCAAATATGGCAACAGGACTACATTTTTGACTTAATCTTACTCTTGTCTAGATACAATAACATAGTCAGATATTTCCTGGAGTAATATCATGAGCTGACCATTTTTCCAGTTTCTTTGTCTATGGATTGAATATATGAGTTCCACTTGATGTCTGGAGTGAACGCTATACTCAACAGGTATTCAAAGCATTAAGCCTCATTGAAAGTGAAACCATTTATCATAAATGGAGAAAATTCTAGAAAAATGTCCTGTCCGGATATACACAGTTGTTGTTTTATTCAATTGGGATAAGTGTGTTAGTGTATTTAAAAGAAAATTGTGTACAACTTGAAATTTGTATGGATGGGCTGCATTCTTTAGTTCCACTAGTTCAGAACATGTCATGCCACTTCCAGAGTCAAATCACTGTCATTTCCTCTATATTCCAGTTGTAACAAGGAAGTTCCATGTTGACAGCTTTCTCCATAGACTGCTACGTTGTGGATTTTTCCCTGGACTCTATAATCTTAACCTCCTCAAGCTGAAGTTATCTATCCTCATAATATTTACTTCCTACCACCTCCTCTTTCATTCATATTACAAACCTCATTAATCCTAGCCATTTTAACAGTAACCTTGTACACTATAATCTTGACCTCTTCAACTCAAGGGTCAATTGTTATCTATCCACCTCTTTTTCATAATCTTCACTTCCTACCACTTCTTACATTCAAAACAAATGCTTCATTTAGTAACCTTCTACTATGAGTGTGCATAGCCGAGTGGTTAGACCATGAGACACGGGTTCAAATCTCATTGTGGTTTTTTTATTGGGAAGGGGATTTCTTGATGTTATCAGTCTGGGAAAGGTGATCCCAGCATGTAGCACCTTTGGAAAGTGCCTGAAAACCATACCACTGGTTGACTCAAGCCTTGCGAGTCATTGATAGTTGCGCTATCATGAAGTCACAAATCATTGTGACTGAGGGTTTAAACGTACTGGCCTCGTTGATCACACTAGATAATATGCACTTTCACAGAAACTGTAACTAGGGTCTGCTCAGCATAGTTGCAGTATAAACTGCAGGTGTTCTGTGGGTGTTGAACATACACAAATGTGCCTGAACTGGTGTCTGTAAAATGGATCAGCTAGACACCCTCATAGACAGGCATACTCGAATACAAACAGCCAGCCACCACTATGAGTGGTTCTCAGTCCTTGTATTGGGTCAACTTTAATAAAATAAAAAAATTCATTCATTACCATAAACATTTTTACTATTAATCAGTCAGTCCATTTGTGCAAGCATTTCCATTAAATTTCATCTGCCTTTACTTAATGCTTTCATGTATAATAAGCACTTAAAAAAAAAAAATAATGAAAATTTAGATGGTTACTATTTTGAGAACTCATTTGATACATTTTACATAGGGTCTGTATCCTCACAAATATAATTCTCATTAATTTTTAACCTTATCCTCTCTCAGTTAAGATAGGTTAATTCATCATATCAAGGAAATGACAATATATGTATATAATGATAAAATATAGTTTTAAGATGTGCTATATTTATCGATAAAAGTGCTCAAAATCAGGGATAGAGCAATTGTGAATATAAAAGTCTGTTTCAGGCCTGAAGATTCCATGAAACAGATTCGCTGCTCAGTGTTGACCTCAGTGTCAACATACATACATACATACACATACACACACACACACACACACGTGTGTGTATATAATTAACATGAAGTTCGTCACTTAGCTGATTGGTGTTACCTTTAGCATCCCAACCATAAAGTTTCATAGACAAAACCTCCTGCAATATATATATATATATATATATATATATATATATATATATATATATATATATAGGATTAATATAAAATTTGTCACTTCCTTTATTGAGAATATCCCACCCCCAACTCCAGAGTTTTGTAGACAAACCTTTTTGGAATTGTTCAGTACACTTGTCAGGTGGTATCAGCAATTAACAATTTTTGTTATTTTTATATTTAAGTTAAAAAAAAATAATTTATGCACTTTTAATTGTTGTTGGGTCAATTGTTTTTCTTTGTGTGTGTCTGTACGCATGTATACTATTCAAAAGTACATAATAGTCTCCTAAATAAATTAGGGTTCAGCAGCCACATATCACATTGCAAGTAATTAGGGTTGTAGGGCCACCTGGTATACTGCAGCCATACCAGCATATGTGTGTCTACGACAGAATAACTTAATGGAGCCTATTCCTCTTCAGCCTGATTTGGGATTCAGTGTTGTTGTTCTTCTAAACTGGTTGCTAACCATGGCTAGAGAGCCTCGTCATCCTTACTATTTAGTCTGCAGCTGGAGAGGGAGAAGAGATGGATTCATGCCTTTCCTAAGTAAGCAAAAATTAATGTATTGAACTCTGCTCACTGAACTCTCTTTCCAAGCTTGCTAACTTAACGTTACCGGCACATTCAAGATTGAACAGCGATAATTTTAATTACTGTCACTGATTCTCCCAAAATTTATAATCTACCTTAATTTTACATTTAAAACCTTTAAAGATAATGGGTTTAATATATTGTTTTTTTTTAATGTTTTAAATTTAGTCATTTTTTAAAAAAAGAAAGTTTTTAATAAAATTCTCCTAAACAAAGTTTTACAAATAGGTCCACATTGCTGCAACCTATGTCATTTGACAATTGTCATAGGGTACCCCCCTCCCTCTCCACACCAAAACAAAACCTGAGCTTCTTAGCTTTAAAAAGGACAAGCTGACAGTTTCATCTACTGAATGCACAAACCTTCTACAATGTTTCCCAAATACTCCTCCTCGGAATGTAAATCTCTTTGTTTTCGCCCCCTCTTTTTCTGTCTTTCCGTTCTGTGGATGCATTTTCATTATATTTTCAGCTTCTTTATCTGACATTGTCTTTATTCCAGAACAATCCATACCAAATAAGAATTCCATTTTCTCAATTGCTTCTGGCCCTTATCCTCATCTCCCGCCATCACCTAAAGAAAATAAATAAAAAGTATTAAATAAAAATGAAAGTCATAGCAATTTACTTTTGTCTTGCTTGGCAGGAATGATTGTCCAAACTCCTAAATTTTTAATTCTCTCTCTCTCTCTCTCTCTCTCTCTCTCTCTCTCTTAATTTATTTATGTTTTCTGTTAAGCTTTAAACCTGTACTTCTTTTTCCTTTTTTTGACATTTGTATTTTTTGTGGGCCACAAGCCACAAAATTTGAAGGAAAAAAAAATTTAAACGCATTCAAAACCCAAAGAAATAAAAAAAAAAAAAAGAAATTCAAGATAAAGATAATGAAAAATATATTAAAGTCAAAATAAAATCCTAAGCATCTAGTTTTGTTTATATTTTGTCTAATACAGTTAATGTTGAAACCTTCTGCATTCACTTAGAACTGTTCACAGGTTTTGACTCGGCAGTTTTTGGTGAGTCCATTTTATCTTGTCTATACCATTTTCACCAAGACAAATCATCCAATTAGTGCCACTTTGAACTAAAAAATTACCATCTGTCTTGACATTTCATAACCTACTGGTGTCTATAGTCATTCTAGGTTTTAGGGTGTGTCTAGCTTACTTGCTGTTTTCCAGCAGGTGAACTTTGCCCTTGCCTGCTGTCAGTTTCTGGGGTGACTCTCAATAAGTTTACAATTAGACAAACAACTGAAAAAGCAATGCTGAATATTTTCTCTCTGTAGTAATTTTTTTTTACAATGATGATCACTCTGTACAAGGCCCAAGAGCCAATCAAGGTAGAGGATTACAGAGTAAGAGACACAGTTTATGGGGATATTTTTTTTTTTTAAATGTGGAAAAGATAACTTTAACCCTAGACAAACAGGTTAAGAATGGAGTGATTGGGGGGAAAATCCTCTTGGGAGTGGTTTGTCAGAAGAAACTGCTCGAGTAGTACTTACATCTCACCAATGGAATAAGAAAGGAATGAGGGTGGTTCGCTACAATGTGCATCCGAGTTGAAGTCACACAATAATACAGCCATCAAAAGAGTTGATATCTTTGATCTGACATAACAGATTCCCAAAAAGACTTCAATATCTGCAAAGCTCTTGCATGGGTTATGTGTAACAAACTTCACAAGATTTGGCACTTGAATCTTCCATCCTCTTTAAAGGTCTAAAACTTTTTGAACCAGTCCTATTATGTGGATTAGAAACTTGGACATTAAATGTTTGTCTTGAAAGATGACTGGATGACATATATAAATCTACTTATAATCCAGAACCCCATGCAATTTATGGAGAACTGGGACCAATCACTCTTAAGCTTAAACAAAAGTGATCACAGATTGTCGACCTTCCTACTGTTGAGTGGATGGAGAGGTAATCTCATCTTTACTTCTATGGTATCCTTCTGGGGGTGTTTTCTCTCATAGGTTGACTTTCCCAGACACCAAGGTTCAGGACTCAAGGTTGGACATTGGGGATCTGGGGACAGCAATGCAAGACTGAGCAGTGTGGAAAGGGATTGTTAATGGAGTTCCAACCAATTACAGGGGGGGTCGAAGGATGATGATAATGACAATGTGTATAGAATGGTGGGTATAGAATGAAAAATTTCAAGGGTAATAGTGACACTAGGCTAACCCTAAAAAAATAGGTTAAGAATGTAGTGATCAGGGAAATCACTTCCACAAAGGAGTGGTTTGTGGGAAGAAGCTGCTTGAGTGAAACTTACATCTTACCAATGGATTAAGATGGGAATGAGGGTAGTTGGCTACAATGTGCATTGAATGGCGAGTATATAGAATGAACACTTGCCATGGAAATAGCGTTAGAGCAAGTGGCTTTAAACGTTTCATCTATATGAAAGAGGTTGTAGGTTAAAAAGGAAAAGCTAAAAGTTGGTTCAGCTTATTAAATAAAAAAAAAATTAGTTTAATTTTGACTATAGCAACTGGGCAATATTTAATCTTCATGTCCCTCTCCAAAAAAAACACCGTCAAAAGGATGGCTATTATCTTGATACAACTACTATAAACTCCTTTCATTCCCTCAGCAATGTTTATTGTTTTAAAAAGTGATCTAGACAGTGGATTTATACATCTCTTTATTCTTGAGAACTGTCAACAAAGATCAGCACTATTTATTAGATTGCTTATTTACAAGAATAATTTTATATTTTCAAGATTATAAAAATATGAACCAACTATAATTAAATATTTATTATTTACAATTTGATATATAAAAAAAAAAGAAATTTGAAAAAAACTTTTTTATTCATAAATTTTATAAAAACATCTGAAGAAAATTAAGCACATAACAAACTACTGATAAATTTTGAAAAAATGCATTTTCCAGGCTTTTCTTTCATTTGCTCTTGTCACATAAATTCACTAAAATAGGTTGAGAGCATCTCTTACATATTTTGATAATTTTCTAATTTTTCTATGAATTTTTTAATAAAAAGATTTCTTCTCAAATTTTTTTTTTTTTTTTTTTTTTATAAAATGATAAATAATAAATCTTTTTAAAAAGGTAAATAATAAATATCGCATTGCACTTGGTTTTATATATTTTTATAATCTTGTAAATAAACAGTGCGGAGAAAGTCAGTCATATACAGTAAAAGCAGTGTCAAGGGAATAACTGTCCTTACAGCATGCCATTTTTTTTTTTTTTATGTGCATGAAGCTTAAACATTGCCAACAATTAAATATATACTCGTCAATCACTATATTGAATATACTTATTAACACTGAGTTGAACTCCCTTTGTTTTTAGAACTGCCTCAATTTTTCTTGGCATGGATTCAACAGGTTTTCTGGAAGCATTCTTTCCTAATTTCAGTTTGTATTGTCATGGCATCCTGCAATTCTTCTAGCTATGTTGGATTCACATCCAGGATTTGTATTCCCCTTTCCACCCATATTCCAAAGGTGTGGTATGCAATTGAAAATCAGTGACTGTGGAGGCCACTTTAACATAAAAAAACTCATTGCTGTGTTCCATGAACACTCTGTTACTATTTTTGATTTGTGGCCTGAGATGTTGTCCTTCTGCAAGATAATGGGTGCACCATCATAAATTGAGACTCATGGTTAGCCACAATATCTACATATTCTGTGGCATTTGAACAGCCTTTTATTTGTACCAAAGGTCCTAATGTATGCCAAGAAAATATTCCCCATACCATTATTATACCACCGACATCCTCAACTGTTGATAGAAGGCAAGATGGATCCACACTTTATTCGTTATACCAAATTCTGGCTTTATCATCCAAATTTTGCAGCAGAAATTGAGACTCATCAGACCCACAATTTCTTATTCTTATCTGACAGCAGTGACACCTTGTAATGTCATCTGATGCTGCAAGGTTCAACTTGTTACACATTCAGAGATGCTCTTCCATATATCTTCGTTGTAAATAGTGATTATTTGGGCTATTGTTGCTTTACCGTCAACTTGAAGTAAATTATATGTGTATATATAAACTTTATTAAGTACATTTTCCTAGTTCTAGGTTGGACTCCCTTGGAACTTCCTCAATTCTTGGCATTAATTCAAAATTGTTCTGAAAGTACTCTTTTGAAATTTGGGTCCATGCTCTTATAGCATTCTGCAACTCTTCTAGATTGGCTGGCTGCTCATCCAGGACTCGAATTTCCTTTTCCACCCATATCGGAAAGGTGCTCTATGCAAGTGAGAATCAGTGACTGTGGTCACTTTAACACAGAATACTCATTGCTGTTTTCCATGAACGAATCTGCTACTATTTTTTGATTTGTGATGAGTGCATTTTCTTGACATAAGTGGCCACATAAGGGTAACTACTCTATAGTGACAAATTAAGGTACATAGTCAGCCATAGTTCCTAGGTAGGCTGTGGCATTTAAACAATCTTTTATTGGTAGTTTTTGAACTATTCAGACCTGTCTGATTGTAGCACGTTCATTGATGTCAAAGTCACTTAAATCACCTTTCTTTACTCCTATGGGCTAAACAGTAAGACTTTTATCTGAAAAGACATTGTCATTCTCAAAAAATTGTTAAAAGTAATATTCATTTGCAAATAAGAAACAAATTATTCTTACAATCCAAAATGTGTTTCGGCTTTAAATAACCCACACAGCATTGATAAGCTGTATAAAAAAACAAGACCTTTCTTTGCTGTACAAAGGCATGAAATGGGATCAACAGATTCCTATGAAAATGTTTAAATATAGAGTCTATCATTTTGTTCTGCCATCTTTCAGCTAAATTCATAATAATTCTCTTTTTCTGGAACTGATCTAGATGATTTTTGCAGTCTTTTACAGAGTTGATTTTTTTTTATTGATAATTCTGTAAAGACCAGATTAAGTACCAAGTGTGTATATATATATATATATATATATATATATATATATATATATATATATATATATATATCCTCCACATAATGGTAAGACATTAGTAGCAATGGTGTCTTCATCTAGTTTTACCATTATGTGGGAGGTACTTCTGCTGCACAATCTAAAAGTGCAATTTCCCAGCAAAGCTATAACAATTATTGACTGGTCATCATAAAAAGTTTGAGATTATCGTGGTGGAATATTATATTCTTTCTCTGGTTAAATTCCTTGCTCGTAATAACAGTTTTTGCTAGCTATAGTCCTGGCCACAAATAACTAGTCTGACAGAATAACATGTATTACCACAATGTCAAAAACGGCACTGAGGTTTTATTATACCACAGCAAACATTATGGAATTAGTACATTGCTAGGATATTCACCATTGTCTTTTATTTAGTAATAAACTAATTAAAGATATGCTCCAAAACATTTTTTATTTAATAGCTCAACCTTCTGGCTTTATAAAATCTACCTTAAACAAACAAGATTTAATTATTTAAATTTGTGGTATAATTTATTTCCAAGCCGTGCAGAAAAAATATGAAATAACCCAATATTGAAGAAAAAATTAGGAAATTCATTGACCAAAAAAAATTAGAATTAATACTTAATTTCAGTCTATATTTCTGAGATGAGGTAGTGTAACTAATTGCATTGTTTGAGTTCTGTCCTCATTTCCGTTTCGGCCATTGTATGCTCCAGCCTTCTTCAGGTGATTGGACACATGGCCTAGTGGATAAAAGTGCTAGTTGAAGTAATCCAGTGACTTGA